TAGGTAAACAGTTCAAATGGTTTTGAGAGACATCGCAGACCCAGAACCAGGGCTCTCATCAGGAAATGCTTTAGTCCCTTAAAGGCTGCTCTTGCACTGTCTGTCCAAGTGAGGAAATTCTTACAGACTGTTTGTAAAAGTTCATATAACAGTCTTACCAAGAGTCCATAGCAATCCAGAGTCGACACCATCCTGCCATTCCCAGGAAGGCACACAGTTCATGAACTGTTTGTGCCTCAGGGAGGAGACAGGTGGCTTCTTTTCTTTCCTTCCTGGTTTCTGGATTTTCTCATTCATAAGCAAAGATTTCTAGGTTTGTCTTTGTTGTTGTGGAGTTTTTGATTTTTTAATTTTTATAGGCTTTAGAAGTAGTTATGATTCAAAGAAACCTCTGAATAATCTGAAAAGTACTTTTATTACGGCTGGGGAATGCAAAGGGGCAGGTGTTCTCCCCAGTGCACTCCACCGAACCAAGAAATACCATAGTTTTTTATACAGTTCGAAAGTAGCAAGTTCAAAGTTATCTTCACACACACTCTTTTTTTGCAGTCTGCCTTATCTAAACAGACATTTAGTTTTACCTCCTATTCTTACCATTATAGAGTAGTTACATAAAGTTTTATCATTTCGAGTAGTTTCAGGTTCCCCACCCCTCTCTACGTGCTAAAAAACCTTCCCTATTCTCTAAGCTATTGTTATCTTAATTGCCCACAGTTTGAGCAGAAACTTTTAAGTAGTTTTACATTTTGTAAAGTCACACTTACATTACTAAATAGCTAAATTTTATTTCATTTTCTATTTCAATTCTCCCCTTTTCTTTTAACTAATGCAAATTCTTTTGCATCACTTTTTGTACAGTTCAGAACACGTGTACTTGTTGTGCTATAGTTCTTATTTTCCACCACATCCATAGATTGACGATTGCCAGCATCAAAAGCAAAATCGGGTGAATCAGGAAGTTAAATAGCTGAGCTGCCGTGGGTGAATGTCTATTGGTTAATCCCAAAAACATGCTCCACTAATGATGTTCTCCAGTCTTTGCCACTTCTGTGATGATGTTTTTTATCTCTGTTGTGTCGTGTTTCACTTGCCACAGCATGTGACGTGAAGTAGTATTTACCTTTTCCATCATTTGTTCAATATCTGTATGATAGAGCATTTTCTGAAGTATATTAATATCCATGTCTATTTGTAGTTTAGGCACCTCATGATATAACATATATCCATCTGAGATCAATTGCATGGTGGTCACAGGAGCAGTGTATCTAAAGTCATATCCTATTATTTTAGTAAAATTGCAAACACAGAAGTTAGTACCATTAGTTAACTTTTTACAATTATCAATCATTATACTTGTGCAAGGTGTCCTGATGCAGGCACATCCCTTACCCACATAATACACTTGGGACTGTGCTTGTGTATTTGGGAACATTTCAAATGTACACACACTGTCTTCTGTATCTAAACATAAATCCTCCTTTTCTATTACAGCATTTTCACACACATATCCTAGTTGTTCCCTAGGTATACAGACCTTTGTGTTGACAGTTTACCACCTCCCCATGCCCTTGTCATAACTTGCCCAGACATTATGCCCTATAGGTCTAACTACAATGTCCCCGTGTATTGCTCCTAATGCTAAGACAGGAAATATGGTCTGCTTTTTTTGCCTCACGGATGGTAAGAACATATGCCTCTATCTGTTCCTGTTCTGTGTTATATGTGAAGTTCACTAACTGCCACCATGCCTGATGTTCTTTTTCAAATTTACTTGTGGTGTCTTGTCTGGATATGATCTCTCTTATTTCTTGAGGTAAAATTCCTGAGGTTCCGTCTCTTATAATTCCTGCTGATACAGATTGTATTCATTGCTGAGTTTGGATACACTGTATTGCTACTGAAACATCTTTTTGTAATTTTTCAAAGACATTCGTAAGTCTTTAGATGTGTGTTCAGTTAACAAGATCATCAAATTTGTAGTAAGAGATTCTGTTTCAGCTATAGTCATTAATGATGATCTGAGTGGTACCTCCAGCTTTCCCAAATCAGAGGTTACAGTGCTGAGTTTATTAATTAACATTTCTTGATCTATTGAATTTAATACTCTTAGTCCTGATTCAAACCATCCTATTAGATCTTTTTGGGTTCTTTCATGATGGGATCTAGTTTTTAACCAAGCATTCCATCCTTTAAGACTGGAGAATGAAGGGTTGGCAGTCCTCTTTTACAGAGGATATATTTGTTTTCTAATGGTTGGTCTGAAAAAGTTTTAACCAGGTATTCTCGTATATATCCTTCTCCAACCTGTATGAGACCTTCTCCTTGATAATAATTCCCATAGGGTCTTCCATATAACATTTCAAAAGGGTTCAGCCCTTCTTTAGTCTTAGGTTTGACCCTTATTCGCAATAAGACCAGAGGTAAAACTTGGTACCAATGTAGGTTTACTTCTTGACAGATTTTTACCAATTGCTGTTTTATCAAATGATTCATTTTCTCCACCTGACCACCTGCCTGTGGTCGATATGGAGTGTGTAATTGCCAATTGATTTGCAGAATGTTGCTAATTCTTTGTATTATGCTAACTACAAAATGTGGTCCTCTGTCCGAGGAGATGATGTCAGGTACTCTAAACCTGGGGATAATGTCATTAAGTAGAACCTTGACAACTTCTCGAGCCTTATTGCTTTGAGTCGGGAAAGCCTCTGGTCAATTTGAGAAAGTATCTGTCAAAACTAACAGGTATCTGTAACCTCCTTTCCTAGGCAACTCAGAGAAATCTCTGCCAGTGTTGCCCTGGGAGATTACTTTTGCTAATTGTCCCTATCTCGATTTTATTGGTTGTGTGAGGATTATTTTGAAGGTAAGTCTTGCACTGTTTAGTAACCTGGATTATTGTAGTGTATAGATTTCATCTTATAATTTGTCTCCTTAGGTATTTGTGTAGTGCATCTACCCCCCAATGAGTTTTGTTATGTTCTGCCTGTACAACTTTCCATAGTACCCTTTCAGGTACCACTATTTGTCCTGTTTCTAAGTAGTACATGTTACCTTTGCGTTGAGCTCGCTGATCTTTTATTAAGTCTTCCTTTGAATATGATACATTAGGGCTTACCTCTATGATTTTGCCATCAGGAATTAGGGAGGCAAGTTCTACCTGGTCGTTTTCTGCTGCCTTTTTCACCTCTTGATCTGCCAATCGATTGCCTTTTTCTTGGTCTGTATTCCCTTTTTGATGTCCTCTACAGTGCATAATAGCAAGCTTTTTCAGTAACTGGACAGCTTCAAGTAATTTTAAGATTTCTTCTGCGTACTTTGTCTGTTTTCCTTGTGATGTGAGTAGCCCTCTTTCTTTCCACACTGCTCCATGAGCATGAACTACCCCGAAGGCATACTTTGAGTCTGTCCAAATATTAATGTCTTTTCCTTTTCCTAGTTGCAATGCTCTGGTAAGGGCTATTATTTCTGTTTTTTGTGCAGAGGTGCCAGCAGGGAGTGCTTGTGCTTCAATGATGTGATCCGTGGTTGTTATCGCATAACCAGCTTTGCGGATTCCATCTTTCATATAGCTGCTTCTGTCGGTGAACCCCATTTCTGCCTCAGGTAGTGGTGTATCTTTCAAGTCCGGTCGGCAGGAATATGTCGCTTCAATTGTTTCAATATAATCATGATACACCGGTTCTTCTGTGGTTGTTGAACTTGATAAGAATGTTGCTGGATTTACGATATTAGTGGTGACGATTTCAACATCATCTTGTTCTACTAGAGTGGCCTGGTATTTGAGAAACCTGGAGGGCGAAAGCCAGTGACTGCCTTTCTGTTCGAGCACTGCTGAAACCACGTATGACACTAGAACAGTCATTTTCTGTCCCATTGTGAACTTTCGGGCTTCTTGTATGTTCAGTACTACTGCAGCTACGGTCCTCAGACATCCTGACCATCTTTTGCTCACTTCATTTAACTGTTTAGAGAAGTATGCCACTGCTCAGCGATATTGTCCGACTTGCTGGGCCAGGACCTCCAGTGCGATTCCCTGCTTCTCATGCGAAAAGAGCAAAAAAGGTTTAGTTACATCTGGGAGGCTCAGTGCAGGTGCCTGCATCAGTTCCTTCTTAAGCCGATGGAAGGCTTGCTTAGCTTCTCCAGTCCATGTTAATTGTTCATCTCCATCTTGTAGAATCTGGTATAGAGGTTTGACTATTAGTCCATATTTGTAGATCCAAAGCCTACACCAGCCAGTCATTCCCAAAAATGTGCGAAGTTCTTTCGGAGTCTGGGGCAAAGGTATTTTACAGATGGTTTCTTTTCTTTCTGACCCAAGTCGACGTTGTCCTCCTGAGATTTCATATCCTAGATAAGTAACTTCTTTCTTGAAAATCTGGGCTTTGTTTTTAAATACTTTATATCCTTTCAGCCCCAGAAAGTTTAATAAGCTCACAGTCCAGCTGTAGAGGATTTGTTAGCAAGACAAAGACATATGGATATAGCTAAAG